GTTGCAGATCCAAGAAGCAGTGTTTGATACTTGCCATTCAATCGGAGAAAACCAACCAGTAAATACCGACCGAACAGAAGATCCGCAAAGAGAACTGACCAGAGTATACTTTACAGAATTCAGATCATTATATTCGTACGGAAGGCGATATATTGATATCCTTTCCAGATTCTCAAGAAAACTGATAAGACAGATATTCACCTTTATGTCTCTATGGAAACACGACAGGTACCCTTACGAGGGGAGAGTATCAACTCGGCGTTCATAAACCCTCTCTGCAAAGGAGGTAGACGCATGGTGGGTTAGGTATATACAGTGTTCTTCATTGCAGAGAAAATCGTTGTTTATCTGCCTGTCTCGTCTTCATTGAGATAATTGATTAATTACAAAAATATATCGCGTTCCAGTTATGAATGTAGAAAACAATATCCAGACTTTTCATAGATTCATATCCTATGAAAGGTCTCACGATTCAAATTTGAAATTGATACTAAGTTTTAGATCTGAACAGCACATTGTATGGCCTTCAAGATCCTTGATATAACCCACGTAATTGAACATGTGGAAGATGCCTACTGGAAAAACCACTATTCGGAAAGGAAGCAAATATGTAGCAATCTAGTTACGGACGTTGAAAATATTATTCAGGTATGTCTCAGATTCAACATCTATGTATTTCCTCTGATGATATTTAATGATTCAAATGTACTTCGATTTGAATGTGATGTTTAGTTGCAGATCCAAGAAGCAGTGTTTGATACTTGCCATTCAATCGGAGAAAACCAACCAGTAAATACCGACCGAACAGAAGATCCGCAAAGAGAACTGACCAGAGTATACTTTACAGAATTCAGATCATTATATTCGTACGGAAGGCGATATATTGATATCCTTCCCAGATTCTTAAGAAAACAGATAAGACAGATATTCACCTTTATGTCTCTATGGGAACACGACAGGTACCCTCACGAGGGGAGAGTATCAACTCGGCGTTCATAAACCCTCTCTGCAAAGGAGGTAGGCGCATGGTGGGTTAGGTATATACAGTGTTCTTCATTGCAGAGAAAATTGTTGTTTATCTGCCTGTCTCGTCTTCATTGAGATAATTGACTAATTACAAAAATAAATCGCGTTCCAGTTATGAATGTTGAAAACAATATCCAGACTTTTCATAGATTCATATTCTATGAAAGGTCTCACGATTCAAATTTGAAATTGATACTTAGTTTTAGATCTGAACAGCACATTGTATGGCCTTCAAGATCCTTGATATAACCCACGTAATTGAACATGTGGAAGATGCCTACTGGAAAAACCACTATACGGAAAGGAAGCGGATATGTAGCAATCTAGTTACGGACGTTGAAAATATTATTCAGGTAAGTATGTCTCAGATTCAACATCTATGTATTTCCTCTGATGATATTTTATGATTCAAATGTACTTCGATTTAAATGTGATGTTTAGTTGCAGATCCAAGAAGCAGTGTTTGATACTTGCCATTCAATCGGAGAAAACCAACCAGTTAATACCGACCGAACAGAAGATCCGCAAAGAGAACTGACCAGAGTATACTTTACAGAATTCAGATCATTATATTCGTACGGAAGGCGATATATTGATATCCTTTCCAGATTCTCAAGAAAACAGATAAGACAGATATTCAGCTTTATGTCTCTATGGAAACACGACAGGTACCCTTACGAGGGGAGAGTATCAACTCAGCGTTCATAAACCCTCTTTGCAAAGGAGGTAGACGCATGGTGGGTTAGGTATATACAGTGTTCTTCATTGCAGAGAAAATTGTTGTTTATCTGCCTGTCTCGTCTTCATTGAGATAGTTGATGAATTACAAAAATATATCGCGTTCCAGTTATGAATGTTGAAAACAATATCCAGACTTTTCATAGATTCATATTCTATGTAGGTCTCACGATTCAAATTTGAAATTGATACTTAGTTTTTAGATCTGAGCAGCACATTGTTTGGCCTTCAAGGTCCTTAATATAACCCACGTAATTGAACATGTGGAAGATGCCTACTGGAAAAACCACTATACGGAAAGAAAGCGGATATGTTGCAATCTAGTTACGGACGTTGGAAATATCATTCAGGTATGTCTCAGATTCAACATCTATGTATTTCCTCTAATAATATGTTTTCTGATTGAAATGTACTTCGATTTAAATGTGATGTTTGATTGCAGATTCACGAAGCAGTGTTTGATACTTGCCACTCAATCGGAGAAAACCATACAGTAGATACGTACCGAACAGAAGATCCGCAAGGAGAACTGACCAGAGTATACTTTACAGAATTCAGATCATTATATTCGTACGGAAGGCGATATATTGATTTCCTTTCCAGATTCTCAAGAAAACAGATAAGACAGATATTCACCTTTATGTCTCTATGGAAACACGACAGGTACCCTTACGAGGGGAGAGTATCAACTCGGCGTTCATAAACCCTCTCTGCAAAGGAGGTAGACGCATGGTGGGTTAGGTATATACAGTGTTCTTCATTGCAGAGAAAATTGTTGTTTATCTGCCTGTCTCGTCTTCATTGAGATAGTTGATGAATTACAAAAATATATCGCGTTCCAGTTATGAATGTTGAAAACAATATCCAGACTTTTCATAGATTCATATTCTATGAAAGGTCTCACGATTCAAATTTGAAATTGATACTTAGTTTTAGATCTGAACAGCACATTGTATGGCCTTCAAGATCCTTGATATAACCCACGTAATTGAACATGTGGAAGATGCCTACTGGAAAAACCACTATACGGAAAGGAAGCGGATATGTAGCAATCTAGTTACGGACGTTGAAAATATTATCCAGGTATGTCTCAGATTCAACATCTATGTATTTCCTCTGATGATATTTTATGATTCAAATGTACTTCGATTTAAATGTGATGTTTAGTTGCAGATCCAAGAAGCAGTGTTTGATACTTGCCATTCAATCGGAGAAAACCAACCAGTAAATACCGACCGAACAGAAGATCCGCAAAGAGAACTGACCAGAGTATACTTTACAGAATTCAGATCATTATATTCGTACGGAAGGCGATATATTGATAACCTTTCCAGATTCTCGAGAAAACAGATAAGACAGATATTCACCTTTATGTCTCTATGGAAACACGACAGGTACCCTCACGAGGGGAGAGTATCAACTCGGCGTTCATAAACCCTCTCTGCAAAGGAGGTAGACGCATGGTGGGTTAGGTATATACAGTGTTCTTCATTGCAGAGAAAATTGTTGTTTATCTGCCTGTCTCGTCTTCATTGAGATAGTTGATGAATTACAAAAATATATCGCGTTCCAGTTATGAATGTTGAAAACAATATCCAGACTTTTCATAGATTTATATTGTATGTAGGTCTCACGATTCAAATTTGAAATTGATACTTAGTTTTAGATCTGAGCAGCACATTGTTTGGCCTTCAATGTCCTTAATGTAACCCACGTAATTGAACATGTGGAAGATGCCTACTGGAAAAACCACTATACGGAAAGAAAGCCGATATGTAGCAATCTAGTTACGGACGTTGAAAATATTATTCAGGTATGTCTCAGATTACATCTATGTATTTCCTCTAATGATGTTTTCTGATTCAAATGTACTTCGATTTAAATGTGATGTTTGATTGCAGATTCACGAAGCAGTGTTTGATACTTGCCACTCAATCGGAGAAAACCATCCAGTAGATACGTACCGAACAGAAGATCCGCAAAGAGAACTGACCAGAGTATACTTTACAGAATTCAGATCATTATATTCGTACGGAAGGCGATATATTGATTACCAATGGGGCCCAAGGACAATGAACTGACAATGTTATACCTCTCGTCCAAACCAAACCTTTCATCGAATACTCCAAATTATGGTGGCTTTGATGATATTGATGTTGGGCACCAAAACAATGTAATGTTTCATTTCTTATCTGCAAAACTTAGATTATAGTTCTGGTGGCGCACGTTCATGATAATTATAAACTTATTGAGATGCTTTTGACAAAGTGCGGCCACACCAAGGCGATTACAGAAATACAGAAATGAACGGTGACAACTTTGAACATTTTTAGTGACCAAGGCCGTAACAAGATCGATTTTATCGATGAATCTTTCAACTTTTGCCATTTTTTAACTTCTGTTAAAGCGATTTTTGGTGAAATATGGTTCATCCCGTTCAGTTTTAGACCCCAATAAAAAAATTTACGATTCTTGGAACACGCCAGATTGGTGGCCTCCATGACATAATAGACTTCAAATTACAAAACGACAACAATATCCACTGTTTTATTTTATATTTGCCAAACCAGAGATTATGGGGAGTGTACAATCTCTGGCCGAACTTCAACAGATTATAGATCCAATTACGTAGTTTAGGATAATAATTAACTTGTTGGCATGCTTTTGAGAAGAAGCGTTGACATTTTGAACGTTTTTTTTGTGACCCGGACCGTCACAGGATCAATATTATCACTGAATCTCTCAACTTTGTTTTTTTTTTACTTCTGTGAAAGCGATGTCTGGTGAAATGGTTCATCCTGAACAGGATGAACAGAAGATGGTGAAGAAACTCCTGTTAAATCCCATCTACTGTTTTTTGGTCAAAGTTCTTGACCTACAGCCTACTTGACAGTAGGATTCTTTTCAATATCGCGGATAATAGGTCATATTTTACCCGTTAGATGGCAAAATCTCAAGCAAAACTCAAGGTTGGTAGAACTGATGATAATTGAGATTTGAGGTTATGTTATGATATTATTATTTCTGGTGGAAGCAGTGTGTTAGCTCCGTTTTCTGTCATGAAAGAAATCTGTAAAGTGACGCCATCTTGCGGACAACTGAGAACTAATATGGCATTATCACGGAATCTGTGGTCAAGCGTTTTTGGAGAAACAAAACACTGTGTGTGATTACACCATACTCTATCCACCTTGACACCTTGATCCTGACGAATCTTAGCGTTAAAAAAGATTTACCGTTCGTGGAATAGGCCAAATTGGTGGCCTCTATGACATCGATGATGGGCACCAAGACGGCCGTCCTATCTTCCTCGATCCTGGCCAGTAAGGGCTCGGCCCAATCGACGGTGGCCTCGCAATGAGCGTCGAGGAATATGAGGACATCGCCCTTGGCCAGGCGGGCGCCCTGCAATCGGGCCCTTATCAGGCCAAGGCGCTTGGGTAGGCGGACTACTTGGATGTCTTGGGTAGCGAGGCGGGTGGTGACGTAGTGGTCCAGCAGACCTTTCAAGTTTTCTGTGGAATTTTCATGAAATTATCAACCGAGAATGGGAATCAAGAAAGGTTTGATGCAATTCTGGTTGAATGTTTCATCAACATTTTGACATTTAACATTTCATTTTCTCAAACTGGTGGTTCTACGTTACAATAATTGAATTCTGAAAATATAATAATCAGAGCCTACTAATAGGTAACTGATGAGTCATTTCATTGGCTTCAAAATAAAATATTCTGAATTTTCCATGTTAACTTATGAAAATATTGCAGAGTAGAGAGCACCCATTTCATTGAATAGTTATTGCCTACAGCAATGTAGAATTATAGGTCACTATTTCATTTTTTTCAACTTCCAGACCCCTGTATTAACATTTATCATTGAAACTACTGTGTTTATATCACTGTTTAACGTTTTAATAGAAAAAATTGTGACAAAATCACTATTTTTTATTTCAGTTAAAACCAAGGTTAAAACAGTTATTTATAAATTAAAATATTTTCATCATCGGGAGAATCTATGGTACAGTCGATTTATTATTTGAATAACTTCTCAATGTAGTGAAAAATAGTACATAAAAATATTTTTTTCTGTGACGGGAAAAAAGTTTGGCATTTCATCTCTGTTGGCAGGTTATAAAATGTCACTTTTCATGAATTACTTTTTTCCCGTGGGAAAAAAGTGAGTACTTCTTTCCCGGATATATATCACATATATATACTCTGTTAATGGCTTTTGTTGTGCTATAGTTCCGAAAAATGAGTCAATAATACCGTCTCCGAGAAAGAACTACAAGTCCTTTTATCTTCCATTCGACTTCGCGGTTTCGTATATTACTAAACAACTACTGAATTCGCAATTTTTTAAAATCGAATCACAGAATTGAACTGACAGAAGTGACATCAGATATTTGATTACTTCAAAAGAATGATAAAGATGTCTATAAAACGCAGGTGTCCCTACTGTTAAAAACTTGAAATTTCACGTCGATAATTTTCAGATTTCGAAATAATGTAATATCTTCTCAATATTGATTCGTCCTTCCTTCTGTCACAGAAAAAAATAGTGTATTATACACGGGAAAAATATTAGATTTTAGCTCACGGTTTTTTGTCTCCCTCCGCTACGCGTCGGGAGACAACACAACCTGGAGCTAAAATCTACTACTTTTTTCCCTTGTATAATAAATAACTATTCTTCATTCAAAATGAAAAATACAATATTTCATTTTTAACTATCCCTGAAATGAAAATAACATCATTGAATTTCAAAATTCAGGTATTAAAATTGAATGCGGAACGATCAAATGAAACCTGCTTGATTCAATTTTTTTTGTCCTTTTCAAATTCAACAATATCTTATCAATGTCACATTTTTTTTTCAAACCTGGACCAGTATTTTTTAAACATTTTTCGAGGGGTAAACCGCGGTCAAAATTATGTACACCAAACTTCAATTTCACAAGGAGTTCCAAGGAATTTCAAGGAAATCCATATGGAATTCCAAGGAAATCCAAGGAATTTTAAGGAATTCCAAGGAAATCCAAGAAATTCCAAGGAAATTCAAGGAATTCCAAGGAAATCCAGGGAATTCCAAGGAAATCCGAGGAATTCCAAGGGAATCCAAGGAGATCCAAGGAAATCCAACGAATTCCAGTTGTTTGTTGTACACCAGAATTTTACCGCACTTCACTCAAAGAATTCCAAGGAAATCCAAAGGATTCTAAGGAAATCCAAGGAATTCCAATGAATTCCAATTGTTTGTAGCCCAGGAATATACCACATTTCACCCAAGGAATTCTAGGAAATTCCAAGAAAATCCAAGGAACTCCAAGGAAATCCAAGGAAATCCAAGGAATTCCAGTTGTTTGTACCCTGTTTACCCCTTGACATTTTTTCAATGGTATGTTGGTGATTCAGGTAGTGGATGGACAACATGAGTACCAAAAAACCATAAAAATATACATACAAATTTATGAAACACCCTAAATGTGGGTCTAAAATCATGGATAACATCAAAAGATAGAGATATTTGTTTCATGAAATTGACATATCATAAGCTTGATGATCAAGATTCACTGATAAAATGTAGATTTGGACACTGATAAACAAAAATATGTACCCAAAGCACCATGAAAATATTTGAAGATACCAAAATATGTATTTTGGCAATATAAGTCTGCTAATATTTATTCACTTTCACAGGTCCACTGAAATGACAATGGACTTTGTAAACTATGTATTCAGGCTTTTTTAGATACTTTTATGGTGCTCAAGATGATTTTTGTGATAGCAGATTCACAGTTCAAACTAAGAAAAGTTTCCAGACTCATTCTATTCATAGAACACAATGAAAATATTTGCAAAAGTACATTATGATTTTATATTTTTATCTTTCAATTTCAGGAAACCATCATTCAACAACAATTTGCTTCTGATTTGTTTTTTTAAGTTTTATTGATAAACATGTTAGAAATAGATTTTTTCACATTGATTTCTGAGAATTGTGTGTCTGATGACTGCATATTGATTTTATAATGAACAAATTTCTTACCATCTGTACTAGCATCATCTACTAAAATTATTTCTTCCAACAAGTGACTGGGTGTTTGTAAAATAACACTCCAAACTGTCCTCAAAATAACACTCAATAGCTCATTATAAAATATCACAATTACTGATGTCTTCAGTTTTGGATTGTACTTGAACTCTCTACATCTGAAAATAACAAAAAAATCCAGGATTATACACTGCTCAATATGAAATTTTCAACATTGAAAATAGGTAGCAATCTGATTGCAATTCCACATATTCAAATAGAATTCACTATTCCTAGTTTTGAAATAATAAATGAACAACAGAACAACAGAACATTCCAGTGATAGAATATGGAATTTATGGCATTCTGAATATCAATTATTATATAGAACTACAGAAAATTCTCCAGAAAATTAGGAATCTAATCATATAACCACTTTGAACAAATGTCAGAGCTTTTATGAATAACATATTCTTACTTTTTATTTCTTGGGTCCCTCAATTTCCTATCCAAAGGCATTCTATCACTAAGAACAGTATTCAATGCAAATTTTTTCAGTGCTTTTTCTCCTAGTTTTGCATCACTGCCGTCCAGAAATGCCGGCTCTCCATTATTCCCTAAATTTGGTATGATTCTGCTTTCATAGTCTCTCAATTTGTTCTCTAAAAATTGGCTGGAATTGCTGTCCAGCCTCAGCTGCTGTGCTTTGATATTCACATTTTCTGCAGATTCTCTGTCTATAAGCTTGAATATGAATAGCATCACTATCAATATGAGCACTACCGTCAGGATATTTCTTGTGTGGATTTTTCTTTTCAGTCTCAAACATTTTACTAACATAATTTTTGTATGCTGCCACTAGGTACACCAGATCTATCACCTATTGATATCATGCCAGCTCAAAACAAACTGACTTTTTTCATGGGCATGAAGTTATTGTGATTTGTTGGCATTATGCTAATTTGTTTATGGATCATCATCACACCAACCACCGTTATTGTTGTTAATTGAGTTTTTGAATGATGAAAGCTAAACACGTTTACTTTGCGGTGATGCCATTGATGCTGTAACCAACATTCTCCTGCCTTTCTTTTCCCTGATTCCGTTGATTATTGTTTTTCACAGGTCGTTTGTGATATTATTTACTCTAATGAACACCCAAAACTCGCCCAGATGCTGATTCTGTTGATGTTGATGTTGATATTAGGTTATGTTTTCATCAACACGTTATAGACGTTTGTCAATTTTTATTTTACATCCAGACAAGCAAGGCGACATCTAGGTGGTAAGGCTATCGATAAAGAAATCGCAGTATGTCTCGCTCAGGTATAGCGATCTTCTTCTCGTACTCTCGTTACAAAAACATTCGATAGATGTCGCTAAAATGTTCATGATTCCAAGGTTGATAGAACTGATGACTATTTTGTAGAGGAAGGTTGCATGATTCATGATTGATATTTTTCAGGCACTTCGTGGAAAATTCGTGTATATCGGATGATTTTTAAGCTGGAATTCTTTACAATACCAGTAAAAAACATTCGAATAATATCATTTCGAATTTTCATCTGGTATTTCTGTAACGCAGCTTTTTTTGTGATAATTTGCGATATGGGTACAATACAGGATCTTTTATGTTTTTTTAGTCTTTTTTTGTAGATAGATCCTTATTCTCGTTTATAAATTAAAAAAAACGCGTTTTCAACCAACAGTCTACCTTTACTTATATCTGCTATAACTATTTTGACCTATATTTGAATATACAGTACTATATTGCGAGCATAACTGAAGCAAGTTCAATTTGTTGAGCCGTTCTGGTTCATGAAGAATGTACAGTATCGCGTCCATGACTGACGAAACGTTTTTCTTCAATCCTGTCACCCAAGATGAGGAGGGGTGCTATCTGTCATAAAAAATATGGAAATCAAAAACAGTACCGGTATGTAGATGACATTTCTACGAAAATGTTGAAATCTGTAGCTGTTACTGTAGCCGGGCATCTGGCCCATTTGATCAATTCTTCTATTTCATCTGGAAAATTTCCGTCAATCTTAAAATTAGCAACTGTAATTCCTGTTCACAAGAAAAATAGCCTGAGAACATTTCCAACTATAGACCAATTTCAATTTTGAGTGCATTCTCTTAAGTCATTATTGAGAAGATTCATCCAAATATAAGATACTCACAGAATGCCGACATGGATTTCGTAGTGGAAAATCAACTCAAACAGCAGCATGCCGCAGCTCAACTGAATTTATATAAACAGGCACTAGCATTGGTGTTCCACAGGGTTCAGTGCTAGGGCCGCTTTTATTCTTATTATTTATCAACGACACATGCCTGAGCATATTGATGCTAAGCTGTTAGCACTATTTGCAGATGACACTTCGTTAGTTGTGACAGCAGGCTACTTTGTGGAGCTTGCTGAGTCAACCAAATTGATCATGAATAGCTTCAATAGTTGTTGTGATCAAAATGGTTTGAATTCGAACATTGCCAAAACGGAATGTATATATTTCACTTTTCATGCTAGCTTGATAACGTCTTTCAACTTCATTTGGATAGTGAGAGACAGTATAGTTTCTAAAATGTGTACGAAATTTTTCGGTCTTCGATCAGCAAGGATTTTCGAAAAACAGCATGAATAAACTACCCCTTTGAAGAGGTGGATCGAAATAGTTCCACTGGTGGCAGCATCTATAAATCTATATGAGATATCCAAATATGTAATTTGATGGAAAAATACGAACCAGAAATGCTCGGTTAGCAAGGATTTTTGAAAACCTGCTAAAATAAACTACCCCTCTGAAGGGGTGGATCGAAATAATTCCACTGGTGGCATCTATATATGTATCTATATAAAAGATATTCAATATGTGATTTGATGGAAAAATAAGGATCAGAAATGCTCGATCAGCAAGGATTCTTGAAAAACTACAAGAATAAACTACCCCTCTGAAGGGGTGGATCGGAATTATTTTACTGGTGGCATCAATATATTCATATAGAATATCCAAATATGCAATTTGAAGAAAAAATTCGAACAAAAAATGCTTGGTCAGCATACTTTATTAATTGTGGTCAGCAAATTATATTTCCCCGGTTATAATAAGTGGGTATATTTACTGCACCTACCTTAAAAGATGAAATTTCCATAAGAGCCACCACTGTCTCCTGGAAACCATAAAAAGGAAACATTGTGCACGACCTCCAATAAGCGTTACATCGTTACAGGGAATATTGGAATTGGAATTGGAAACCCGAGTCGCTTTATCTGATGGTCAACAAAGCCGCACCCATTTCGTCCAGTTACTGGGGGGACCAGTAATTAGCTAATTCGGAACATTATTGACGATAAAACAGCAAGATCCATGTCTCTATTAGCTTTCTAAGCACCGTTACTCTGCGATAGCAGGAGGAAAAGTTGATGTTTCGCGCCACGATTGAAAAATACTTGCGCTGGATTCCATTGGCGTCACGATGGTATATTACAGAAGTGGTACAGAATCTACTATAAGCTGTAGGTCCCGATCTAGGGTAGATGCACTGGTTAACCGACCGGCACTGGTTCTCCACCGTTCTGGCATTTGTGACAGAATAATAAGAGCAGTAATATTTCTTATACTATTAAAATTGCTATTAAATGTATTTTTGGCCACTTCTGCAGCAGAGTGGGACAAAAAGTCGAGCTCTTCGCACAGAAAATCAGTTGATAACCGTCTGTCATTGACAGAGGCTGTATGTTATCGTCCATGTTTGAAAAGTGCTAGTTGATACCAGGCCAGAAAATAGTGAATAACTTTAATTTTTCATGCATTAGGTATATGAGTTTTGTTATATAATAATTAGTAGATATGGCTTTTCCTGTATTTCAAGAAAAAACAGACATAAATAATACATGTTTGTTAAATATTCGGTGGTCGCGAACCAGTTTTACAAATATCTTGAATAATTGTTTATGTCTAGTTATATACCTACTTCGCCCTCGTCGAAAGATAATATCCGATGGACCAGTGTGAAACTCCTGTGGTGCTCACACCACGAGTATTCTAATCCACATGTTGAATTTTACACTGGTCCATCGAATATTATCTTTAGAGGGCTACGAGATATTCTCGGGAGTATTGATACTCTGCCATTAACTTAGATCAGTTTGAATCGCGGCACGTTCGGATATTCGCAAAGGCGACATCATCGAAACAGATACAGTGTCGAAATAATCACCAAATGATTGTACAGGGTGTTTCATAATTCAATGCTGATCCTAAAGGTCGATGATCCTTGGATGATTTTAAGGAGAGAAGTGTTTCCACTTATATAGTGGGTGTCTACTGAATTACCAAAAACAATATCCAATGAAGGAACAAAATTCTTTGGTTTTTATGTTTTTACGCGAAAACGGTACGTTGTATGAAAGTAAGTCTAGCAACCAAAATTTGCTCCAAAATGAATAAGAATTGAAAAAAAATCTGGTTCTCAGAAAAATCAGTGGCCAAAAATTGTCAGTTCAAACCCCGTACGGACGCCACTGGTGAGAATTTTTAAATATCTTTCACGTTAAAAAATGCTCCTCAATAATGAAAAGGTGTTTACAAAATATCATAACAATATCTAAGAGTGATAAAAAATTATGATGAAAAACTCATTTTTTTGTTGAAATTTCATCACCCTGTAGCTCAATAACTAAGAGGTTTAGGACATATGTTGATATAAACTTTTCTCTAGATATAGGATGGCCGATTTCAGTGCCTCGAGAACAATTTTTATCACAAACTCAATGCCTTGCAGTTATTTTCATGAAAACAGAAAATTTTTGCAAAAAAAATATCTAGCCACTTTTCAAAAATGTCCATTTTCGAAAAACACCTTCTCAGATAGCACAAGTACATCCGGAAAAGGCTCTGGTATATTCTATGGACGTCCATAGGATGTGACAGTGTGACCTTTTTGGATGTCTTAAAGATATTCATTATGGATATCCATAAGATATCTACTATGGATATGGATAAGAGATAGTATACCCTATATATCACAAAAATTGGGAAGCACTCACGTTTCACTGCGTTCGAATAATGTAGTTGTCAGTTCTTATGCATCATCAATTTTGGACGAGTTCGTAGAAATCACTTCCAATTTCACTTCAAATTAATTAAATATGAGAAGAGATTGACATTATTTGACTATTCCAAGGTTGGTAGAATCGATGATCTATAAATAATCACAATGTGTGCTATCTTTTAGAAGACCCACGCACACGTGTTACTTTTGTGGATCTCCTTTTATTTATTTATCATTTCATTCACTGTATATACTTGATTTGAAATTCCTAGGTATTGATCTATTGTCTCTGTATCTTATGGATATCCTATGGACGTATTGAGGACGTTTGTTTCGGATATCTCAAGTACATCCGTAATCGGATATCTTATGGATATACATTTTTTATCCACGGATATCCCGCCTGCTTCAATTGGACCTGAAATGGATATCCATAAGATATCCTGTGTTAACTGGGTTGTAACTCCGAAACGAAGACACATATCGATATGCAGATTTTGCCGTTGAGTTTTTCATGAGAATCGACCCTCAGACACCGACATTAGTTTTCTTCCATCTGGTTCGAGACTAGGACTTTCCCTTCAAAAGTGTCCAATTTGGCCCACCCTGTACATGGCGAGGAAGGCACTCCTTGCGTGCCTTGCAGATATTATTGAGGAACTCTCTCAGTCGCTTTTTCTATAATAATTTCCATGTAACATACTTGGAAAGAACGGCTAGTAAATTGCGAGTAGGTTTTAACACCTTTCAAAAAATGGCAGACTGCAAATCTCCTATAGCGAGAATAATAATAATAAATAATAGAGACATTATGCCCATGCGGCCATCAAATTATGCCATAAAGTCATAAACACGAGGAATGGGATAATGGTGGCGGAATTTATCGCTCTGAACCGAGTTTTTCTTTTATCCAATTTCTAGGTACGTACCAACTGCACAAGACATAATTTGAATTTTGATTTTCGACCGACATAGTATTATCCACCGTATTTCTTGTTGTAACCATCATAGAAAATAGACAACAATATACAGGGTGTCCCAAATTCCTTGATTTTGGCAGTTTTTCCAGAACCGCAATTAGATATATCTAACCGTTTTCGAGATATAGGCGAAAATTTACATTTGACCGACTTCGAAAATATGCCACAACATTTTTATTTTTGAATATTTTTCT